CAAACTTTGGTGTGACAGACGCGAACTTCAACCAGCTGCCAAAAACAGAGTCTTGGAGATAAAGATAAATAACGAGCACGGCCGTGTAGCATTTGACCTAGAAAAATACTTAAGTAACTTTGGTGACCTGAGGTCAGAGGTCAGGTCAACGACCCCGAGCTGAGGCTTTAGTTTTTTTTTCGCAAATAACGTCAATAAAATGGTCATAGAGCTACGGCAGCGGTACCTTCGCATTCGTCTGGTCGAGACGCGTCGAATAACATATACCGGGTGGCCCAGAAAAAACGTTCCCAACTTTAAATCAATATTTCTCAGAAAGTGATAATGATACAACATTGAAGCTTCGAATATTCATTGCGGCACACATTTTCAGTAAATAGTGTGATTTTCATGGTGTTCGGTAAGTTACTTTTTAAACGGTTCGTGTCTCAAGCATGCCATGTAAAAATTACTTTTTTGCTCCGATGTTTACTAAAAAATGTGAGTGAACGGGACACTTTCACCCCGCGGCACCGCGGCCTAGAGCCATGCCCATGACTTCTACTGGCAGCTAGTCTCATTGATGGTTCGGGTCTCAGGATGACACATTCCCTCAGGCAACCACGATGGCTCTGTGCCAGCGGCATCGGAAGAAGTTTCCAGTTTTCTAACCATCTTTCGGCTCAAATGCTTTCCTGGCTGACATTCCTGGGAGAAGGTAGCTTTTCAACCAGTTTTTTTTGTCATCTGCTGGCAATGTTGTTTTTGATAAGCTATTCTGTGGTCTTCTGTCACAGGAACCAGTCTGCTTTAGTTTGTTTTCCTTATCCGGTCGATTTACTGTTTGATCTACTGAAAGGAGGGTAATCAGCAGTAATCCATGCACCGTGCCACTCCTGCTCGAAACATGATTTGGTGTTGAAACGAATGGCATCCATGAGCACCATTTTGGCTCAGTATTTGAATATTTGGCACATAAGTGAGACGAAAATATTTAAAATGAGAACAAACGTGTCAGTTTTCATTCACGTGCTCTTTTTTATAACATGGGACGTCTAACCCAATCATCACTATCGTTTGACATCGGCAAAAAAAGCAAAAACGTCTTGTTTAATTCATCTCAAGATTCCCAGCTTGAAAATGATGGTATAGTGTTATAATTTGGCATACCAATGCGCAAAGAAATGACGCAAACTTGATGAAAATTTAGGCTCGTTATTTGTACTCGAATTTAATATATAGGCCTCCAAAGTTCGGAACGTTTTTTCTGGGCCACCCGGTATATTGTTTGGAAAAGGTCAAGTTTTATGTTGACTTCACGTGACCTCGAATGACGTTTGGTTGACTTTGACACATGAAAGGTTGTTTGTGATGATTTCGTAGCCGCTGATCACGATTCTGGGATCCATTTTGCTCTAAGCATTAATTTAGAGCATCAGGATGGCAAAACATGTCTTAATTATTATGCCTGACTTGAATAAGTGAAATAGCCTCTAGCAAGGATACTCTCTTGTGACTTTAACCTTCTAGCAGCCTGGTATCGTAAGCTAAAGCACAAATAGGGGCCCGCTAAGCTTCAAAACATTTCAAAACATCTCGGAATTTAGCATACAAGATATAAGAAAAGTGCGAAGTTTGTGGTAAATTTTGATCACGACCGTGACCTTGACTTTGAATGTTATGCACGTCATCGGAATCCTCAGACTCTCTCATTTCGTTTAACATCCATTTTAGCCGGTTTTATGCACCATGCCGTCCTCTGGAACACGTACTTTGAGACCACTACAAAAGAGCCGGTTTTTGCCTTTGACCCTGACTTTTGACCTTGAAAATTGACCTTACGTCAAAAAGTTAAGGTGCTATAGAATCTTCTCGTAGATACCTTTCGTTTGGTACAATTTTTGGTTCCGTAGCTGCCTTATTTACGGAGTTAGACAGGGGGGAGGGCTACTCCCGGGCTGCGGTGGGTGGGATTAACCCCCCCCCCCCGGGCCCGGGCGAGTCGCGAGCAAATAAAACTATAAAACTAGATTGGGCGAGACACAAACCTGTGAAAATGTTATGTTGAGATGTAAAATGGTGCATTCCTCAAGACAATAATCAGTACCTAGTTCTCTTTTTTACCGTAGTGCGTATATGTGCGATTCTCTCACACACGATTGATACCAGAATACCCGAAGGTTGTTTCTTCATTAGACAAACACTATTCTTTAGAATTGTGTTTTTCTATTGAAAAACAAACTGAGGGTGTTTCCATTTCGGGATAAGCTCCATTAGGGCGATCCACATACATTTCCAGCTAAATCGGATATACATGCCTACCTATCACATTTTGTCATACCTCCCTGAACTCAGTCTCAGTGACAGTCTAAGGGTCCCCAAAAGAGGATGATCTCTTCTCTGGGCGATTTTGACAAACTGCCTCTCAACCTTCTCGAGGTCAAGCTCGAGGGCAGCCTTCTGGTGAACGAAAATGAGTAGGAGAATGAGTGGGAGTACGAGATATGCGACAGACGATCCGAGAACGAACGTTCTGCTGATGCACTTGATACGGGGACCGTCAAAAACAGGCGTACAACTATAACCGCCTATCATGAATGCTGCACCGGTCTTCTGTTCCCATTTCAACATCAGCCAAATTTTGTGGGGGCAAAAACATAGTCTTGCCCCACGGCCTCCTGCCAGTGGGGGCAGTCTGCCCCCACTGCCCCCACGGTGGCGCCGCCCTTGTTTTAACTCTTTTCTTTTCTGATTCTTTCGACCCAATAAAAGCCACCAAAACTGAACGTGCCAAATGAAAAATATCAAACTCAAATAACAGTTTAGAAAAACGTTAGACATCATGCAACTATCGACTGAATAGTTGCATGCTATGAATACGCCCTAGATTTCAATTATCATTGTTCAGCATTTTGGTTGGAACTGGCGCTGCCTCTCGCTTGCCCGTTTGTTTGAGATGATTCCCTTCAGTCGCATTCTTACTGGTTCCACATGAACAGGATACCACCATACCGGAGTGAACGCACCCGCAACCGTCATCCCCTCCCCTCAGCCTCGGCGCAGTGGCGGGCGGCCCTGGGCGGCCGACTCCCGGCGCTACGCACGCCCCATGCGCCGTGATACCGCGTCACTCCCCATCCCTCCTTCCCCCACAATGACCGGTGACCTCGCTTCCCTCGGCTTTTGGACTCGCCCTACCCCGACCGTAGCGCCACGTGGTGGCTCTGGAGATCTAAAATAGACCCACTGTACAGTCTGTCTTAAAAGTACCGCGCAAAGTGACGGTGGATCCATCAAGCCTGACCGAGGAAGGGCCTGCTATAATTTGAAAGTCACCGAACCAATGGAGCTGGGGCAGGCGCGGATACAAGGGGGGGGGGCCATGGGGGCCATGCCCCCCCCCCTTGGCCGATTTTTTTTCAAAAATAAAATAAAAAGTTAAAAAGTTAAAAAGCTGAAAAGGGGGCCTCCTGAAAATAAAGTGGCCGAAATCCGATGAGTTTTTCTTTTTTAACCTACCCACTTAGTTATTTCTTAGAAGACTAGCTGAGAAGACTTCTTTGTTAGAAGATTGGTAAAGCTTTTCATAACTTGGAGGTCTCTTATACTCACAGAGATGACCACTTTTACAGGGCCTCCTAACCTGCACAGAGGGCCTCCAAGCCTGCACAGATGTTGAGATGTTGCCTGAACAGCTAGATAAGCTCAATAGACGCAGTTTTTTTTTGGGGGGGGGGCCAACAAGTGGGAAGATGGGGCCTCCAACAGGTGGGATTATGGGGGGGCTTCCTGGTTTCTAATGGCCCCTCCCTTGGAGATTTTCTGGATCCGCCCCTGAGCTGGGGAATGGACGAGGATGTCCATTGCTTCGGTGACTCAAATTTGGCAGTCCTTCATCGGTCAGGCTTGAATGGATCCACCGTCACTTTGCGCGGTACTTTTAAGACAGACTGTACACTAGTGAGCTTTTACAGCAAAGGCAAATTAGATGATCATTGAAATATTGATACGAGCGAGTAGTGACAGCTGCAGTGCAGCATTCCGCAGAGAGATAAAACTTTTAGCTTTAGCACTTCTCAAGCATCGCAATAATGAATTCCATTGTGATGACACAGCACATCCGCTCTCGGCCTTTCAATTATCTGCCGTCAGCGTCGGCTGTGTCAGCGGAGACGGGGCGGGACTGTGCGGCATAGCTGACCCCGTGGCGGCTCTAAAAATACCCGGCCGTGCCCCTGACAGTTGGCAGCGGCCGTTCCCTGGCACACGTGTCACAACAGAGCGCGTCCAACTGCGACACCTTGGCCGGCACGCCGCCCGCCCGCGCCTGACCGGAGGTGCCGCACCCGTGGAGACATAGGGCAGGGAAAAATACCCTGGATACAATGAACTGGGAGTCAGAAATAGCCACATAACGCCGGTACATAATGCTGAATGGCGGCAAGCATAGCTATCCATGATTTATGAAAGCGAGAGGCCACGCTTGCAGTGGCAATGAATGATGCAATGGAATTTGTTTTCCCAGCGAAATGGAAATCAAAAATGTAGTCGCGTTGTACTGAGCCTAACTATCAAAACTGATACTTGTTTCGTTATATATCTGGTGGCATAACAGAGAACAGTTCAAATGACACAACAAAGTGCAGTGCTGGCACTCGCTGACGTCATTCGCTCCCGTACAGGGTGGCTTGTTGCCAGTGACAACGGTCATCCTCAAGGAGATGTGACGTCAATTGAGGGAACAGAGGGTGACCCCGTTTGCTTTGACAACAACATCCGCCTCCAAAATATATCTGTTCTTAGGCACTGGTGTGCACAACAAAACTGCGCAGCAATCCTTATCGCTATACCAAAACCTTTTTTGCGACAGATAATAACTCAATATTTACTCAATGCATCATTAATCACGATACATGAAAAAGTCATCTGATTGCGATTAGACAATTATATCTTAATAGTTTTCCCAACCTCAGTCTAAGCAAAAACATATGTCCCTCCTCCCCCCCTCCCCAACGACTTACATCTCGAGGTCCTCGCGCGCCCGGGTCAGCTCGCGGTGCAGCTCGTCGTCCAGGTTGAACTGGAGCCGCTCGGGCGGCGTCACGTCGAGCGCCGGCAGTCGGCCGCCGTCGTCAGTCCGGTGCTGCACCAGGTAGTCCATCATGCGCGCCACGGGCACGCCCTCGGCCGGCGAGTGCTCGTACGTGATGCCCACGTTCCCCTCGCAGCCGACCACGAACTGGATGCACTTGTCGAACCAGCGGTTGGCGGAGTTGTAGTCGGCGCCGCCGCCGTGCACGCACTGCAGGGCGGCGGCCGTCTGCCGGTTCACGTCCAGCGGTGCGCTCGGCCCGTCCAGACACACCACGAACAGCGCCGAGTGGATCGCCTCCAGCGAGTGGCGGTTCTCCTTGTCTGCCGCAGCAGGGGAGGATGGGTTAGCTGCGTCTCCGGGGTGGGGTCGGTGGAAGAGGAAGCATAAGGGCTAACAAGGTCAAGAGGTGATGAACAAATCAGGTAGACAACAGGTATGTAAGATTCGCATTTACAGCCAGCTTCATGATCTTGAAGTTATACCATTTATCGCATGAAGCCATTAAAGATCATGCCTTGCATAACTGAAACTTAAATAGGAAATTTAAAAGCTAAAAACGGCTATTACAAACGAAAATGAGGTTCACCTTTGCAGAGTTTCTTGTAGGCCTTTCCCCAGACATTCCGGTTCTCGGTGGTGAGAATGCCGACGCCGGGGGCATCAATCTGCGATGCAGCGGCGATCTGACACAGCTGCTCGTAGATTTGCGCCTCGCTGAGCAGCTTCCGGTGCCGGCCGTACACCCTCAGCGTGAAAAACTGAGACATAGCGACCCACATCGTGTCAGCATAAGAAAATGGCGTGGCCTGCCAACATTCTAGAATATGGCGTAATTTGGCGTGACGGGGCGATTTTCTTATAGCCCAAAATCACAAGACGATGTAAAAACATCAGCGGCGTATATCCTCTCCACGTAAAACCCTGTGACGAAACTGGAGAAAAAAGTAACAGCTGAATGAATGACGACTACGTCATAGATACCACAGCGTCGTGACTGCGTCAAATCTCCAACACCCAATCACCGTCGATTCCCGAGCCAACCCCGCCCCGGAGGGCGACTCACGTGTCCGCGGTGGGCGACCAGCACGTGCTCCGAGGTCGGGTGGAACTGCAGCGTGTCGTGATCGACGCCGGGGATGCGGCACGTGCCCAGCACGTCCTTGTATTGCTGCATGTCCAGCGGATCCGGACCAGCGTACTCCTGAGGCAGCCGGCCCCTGATCGACGGCAGAGCGGCGCTGATGTCAGTTACTGGCCGGGTGAGCGCAATCACAAAGACCCAAAGACCCATAACAAAGTCACTGAGAGCTGATGCGAGCAGAAGCGACTATCATTCCACGCTCCACAACGATGCGTCTGGTAACGTATATTAGCGATTGCCGCACACACAATGATAGTTAAAATCTCGACAGCATTAGCATGTGTCACTCACTCATCCAGCAACTTCTTGAAAGCCATGGCGTCTGAGATGAGGCGCGCAGCATACTTGAGCTGCTGCTGCTGAGTGTCCCACTGCTGCAGTGGCATTACCAGGCCGGGCGAGGACCAGACCACCACTGGGGAGCGGTACTCGAGGTAGGCTGTGTTCAGCCACCAGTCTGCCAGCTGGGGAGGGCAGGGTGGTGTCACAAACAGGAACAGAGAAATGGCAAATGGGGGGGGGGAGCGGCACAACATACATGGAGAACATTACTGGAGGGGGACTGACAGGACATATGAGGAATTAGAGAGAAAAAGAGTGGGAGCAGTATTGTATTGACAATTGCTGACAACTCCACATCACTCATTGTGGCTATTCTGTGTCAGTTAGTCATGCATGACGGAAAATGTTGGGGGCAACTGAAAGTTTAATTAACTCACCAATTTACAATGGCAGGTCAAGATGTCACAGTAGCATACATGACAACTGGGAGTAAAATGACAGATACTCTTGTCCTGGTGCTAACATGCTAACCACATTTAATAAAGAAATGTGTTAGGTGCAAACAATAACACTTCAATGACAGGGCACTAAATGGTCCAAATATAGTAAAGAAGTAACAATAACAATGTTGAATCAGCTCTGGTTCTGGGCACCTGCAGAGAGCTGGTTGTATTGTTCAACAGACAAGACACTCACCCAGTTGTCTGTGTTGTTGTACTTCTTCTCCAAAATGGCCTGCAGCTTCTGCCCTGTGCTGGCCGGCTTCAGGAACTCAGAGACCATCTTCTCCACATTGACCAGCTCATCAGCAGTCACCAGTGGCCTCAGGGACCTGATGGCAGTAAGGTGCTTGATAAACACATGTCAAAGTAAATGCCACTGGTTAAGGCATTAAAATACCTACTGATTAGGTACCCAATCTGACCTGCCAATAGCAATAGTCTTGTAAATAGCTTTCCACAGCAGCTCTAATAATTGCTGGGCTCAAAGTAATTCTAGTATAACATTATGGGCTTACCCTTAAGTCTTACCCTTAACCTTGAAGTTGACTCTGCACAAGAAAACTACTTTTGTAATGGCAAGCCCCATTACATGAGCTGCTGTTGCCCAGACAGACCAATATTAAAGTGATCAAGAACCTGTTCAAGAGCTGATTACACAGCTCACCTCAGGTATTTATTGAGTGTGTTCTCAAGTGCAGGGAGTGGTAGCCGAGGCAGCTGCACAGGAGGCTTTGGCGGAGCAGTGGTGTACTGGGCAGAGTGCTGCAGAAGTGCTGAGAGGCTCGGGTAGGAGAATGGCAGGAAGCTGCGCTGGCACAGCTGCGAGATCACTGATGTGTTCTGCAGCCGCCAGCTGCTTTGCTGGGCCTGCGAACAGACAGAAATGCATCATCACCTTATTAAACACAGCATACACCATGAACTGAAATTATAAAGAAAACACACCCACAGCAGTTCAGAACAGAAGTCAGACAGCACTTCAACTTCTTACATGATTACCTACATCACTGATCACAGTATGTGCCTGTTAAAATATGTGATACAGTATGTATCCAATACTGAATGATCAAATTGATATTAACACAGAACAAACAGCTACGTAGGTACCTGAAATATATATTTATTTATTGCAATTCCGCGTAACTCCGAAATGTATAGAGATAAAACAGTAACACGAGGCAAAGACGACTGACTGACTCACAATGAATGCTGCAGTTCTTCCAGCCCTATGCATCAAAAGTGTCCCCGCCATAGCTTGCGTTCACTAATATTGTAATATTTAATGTTGACTCAAGAAAAGGGAAAAAGTGACCTAACACCTACTATGCCCCACAGCCCAACTATGAGCACAACACAAACAATAACAAAAACAAATCGGAGGGGTGTTCACGGGCACCGCACACTGCTGCGTGCGGTGTGTGCGGTACGTCCAGCAGGCGTGGGGGTAGGGGATGGGTAGGCGGCTCTGACGTCACGGCTGCGTGCGGTGGACGGTCCGCTGTGGCCAGTCCCGACCGGCCACAGCGGTCGCTGTGTGCGGTGACGCAAGGCTGACGTAGGGACGCAGTGGGCGGAGCTTGGAGGCTGTGTGCGGTCCGACCGCACACAGGGTCCGTGAACAGCCCTCGAAGAAATGCAGGTGCGTCACAAACGTCTTTAGGGCGTTGAGTTTCTTAACAGCTTCCATATTACGCTGCCATATAAAACTTCAGCTTTAGGGAGAGTTTTTTTTTTCGCTTTTTCAGCCGCCCGTTATGAATGTGGAAAATGAGAGTGGAATGAAAATAAGCTCTTACATGAGTGTGGACTGTCAACTGTGGAGGGGATCTACCCAAAAAAGCTAGGGTTTGCCATATAACTACTGATGACTGGATTGAGCTTATGTTTGCGGCATTTTTTTCAATGCTCTGGCCGCCGCGCCTCTGGCTTTGTGCGACGTCCATTCATGTCCCGTCCACCGTGAGCCGCTCGCAGGCCGATTATGAGAGAGATGAGCCTTGGACTTATATGTAACACGCCACACACTTGACACACTGCACAGTTATGCCTATCCATACTGCAATGCTGATCATCTCCGCTTAGGTAGCTACGAATGTCGTTCACTTGATAAACTCTTTATCCGGAATGACCGCGGAATGGAACGGTATCGACATTCTAGATTCTATCTCAATCGCAATGTCTATTGACAACGTGGTCGGCTTAGCCAAATTTTTCCCTCTGTTCCCCTATCTCATTGTCATAATATGGACGGCAGGCAGACTGAAATGGCCTAGCAGCTGCAAAGCAAACTTTACCTACTGCATGTGTGAAGTTTAGTTATAGCCGAGAAATTGTGAGTAGGTACAAGTAGTTATGTCCGGTTCACGGTTGACGCTGAACCATGATTTGAGACCCGTCGTCTCCAGACTTCAACAGTTGCAGGGTGATATTTCACAGAGGGAGACGGAGTCAAGTGTCTCGTCTGGCTAACTGGGCCAATATTGCCAGACATGAGACAGCTATTCCGATGGCCACTGGATACTGGCCTAGTTTGTAGAAGGCATGCTATAGGCTGTAGCCACTGGCCAATGGTCGCCGGATACTGACCTCGTTGAACAGGTGGTAGGCTGTGGCCACCGGCTCGTGTGTGGGGGCCGCCTCGAGCTCGGCGGCGACCGCTCGAGCCACCAGAGCCAGCAGACTTCCCCTGCGCAGCTTCCGGTTACGGCTTCCTCCCTTGAGCTCGCGGCCGAACTCGCAGTCCGCGCCCGGCACGCAGGAGCGTGGGAGGCACACCAGCATTGTCGCTGCTTATAAAGCGACAGGAGCTGACCAATTGCACCGTCCAGTCACCAGTCGCTAGCACCGCGGTACCACCAGTCACCTCAGCACGGCGGGGGTAATGCTCTGTCCTGTAGTTTCACCAAACGGCGGCGGAAGTCACCAGCTCGTGGAGACCGTGACCCACAGGCCACACACCAGCACAGCTGGTGACGGCTTGACCGATAGGTCACCAAAGACTCTCGACACAAAAGGTCAGGTTCACTCAGAGCGGGTCAGGAGCACTCGCCGACTCTGGGACAACAGAATCACCGTCCTAGCTGCCGCCGGCACCAGAGTTTGGCTGCCGCAGCTGCTACAAGCTCGTGTATGTACTGAGCTGCCACGCTCGGAGGCAGGGCGGACCTGCCCCCGGCCCGACTGGACCACGGCCAAGCTGTTGACGTCAGAGACGAGCCCAGACGCGCGCGGCAGAGGGCACTGGCTCGATCGATGTGGTGGGCGACCGCGCCGCGAGAAGCCGCCGACGGACCACGCCGGCGGACATGTGACCTGGCCACGGCCGGGAAGGTCGCCAAGGGCAGGCCATATAACTAAAACGGCAGGTGCTGAGGTCGGGTTTAAGGGAAAAGAGCACAAGAGTGTGGACTGGTTAAGAGGAGGCTGACACAAAACAAAACTTGATAAAAGTAAAATGTGTGATACGAAAACATGCAATTTTTTACGGTGAAGATTTGTTAATTGACCTTGTGCAATTAGATCAAGCACTCGGGACTCGATCGAGCGGTGTGTGGCTGTTTGAACCAGCTTTGAATGTGGACAAACGTTTTTCTGTGGAGACAGTTATTTCCGGGAGCCAGGCATTGTGAACGCGAGCATTTGCTATGTTCTTTACCAGCACTTGCGCTAACTGACGGTTAGTTAAAGGATAACGTCTAAAAGCTATCAAAGTAGAGGTCTCTGTCTCGTAGACTGAGTTAAAACTTCGATAGGGGGAAGAAGTAGCGTAAGTCTTTCCCTTCTTGGCAATCGGCAAAGATAGACTTATCAACATAGAGATCTTAAATACGTAATTATTCATAGGTATATAGACCTATCGAGTGTAGGTTTTAATTAACACGGTGCCCAAACTTTGCCGACCTAAAAGAAGCATCAGGCACCTTCACACCTTGTGTGGGAAACACAGTGTGCCCAATTATGTTTCACGATGTGTCCGAAAGATGAAACACGTTATTTTGTTTTGGTGAAACAAAGCATACGGGTCCGTTCAGACGCTCACGAGATGATCGACTACGAGTACATACATCCTGCGCTACCAAGGGGCTCAGGTGCCGTGGTGCGGGAGCCGGGACCGGCCAGCGCCGCCCTTTGTGCACAGAGGCAGAGGGCAGCTGGTGCCCTCCGAGGCGCCACCTACGCCCGATCGGTGGACAGACGTGCTGGAAGACATGGAGCGGGTCATCCAGCCGGGCATGACCCACTGGCACTCGCCGCACTTCCACGCCTTCTGTCCGCTGGCCAACTCTCCGCCGGCGCTGCTGGCAGAGATGCTGGCGCACGGCCTCAGCTGCGTGGGCCTCAGCTGGGAGACGGCGCCGGCTTGTCTCGAGCTCGAGCTGGTTGTGCTCGATTGGCTAGTGACAATGGCCTGAGCTGCTATTTAAGTCTAACATAGGCTTGCGCGTCTAAACACTGTCAGGTTGATCAGATACATCTGCCTATAACTGATAAGGGCCTGGGGAGCCTACAGCTTCACGGCAACGAAACGGTAGAGGCAGGAATTAGGTACGGTATCGGGTGTGGCAAGACTGTCACATTGCTAGCAACTGACATCTATCTGGAAAAGTAAAAGCTATTTTAGATTGGTGACCGGTATTGGGTTAGATATAAGATATAGGCTCAAGCATCCCAGACCGTTTCCATATCAATATCTGCTCGTATATTGGAGCGCCACTGGCTGCAGCACATAGCACCTCTATGATCGGCACAGAACGCGACTCGGTCGGTGCTCGGTGGGTGCTGTCCTCTGCCTTGGGGCCATCGAACTAACAGCTCACACGTCGTCTGTGTGGTGACGCTGCAGAAATAGCGCCTCAGTGTTTGGTAGTGCTGGTGTAGTGTCACATACACGCAGATGAAGTATTCGTGCCGTTTATTGTTCACAGTTAGCTTCAGTAGGTTGAACGGTATGCATAGGTATAACACTATAACATATATAAGCCAGGGACAATGCAACCAGTTTTTTTTCTGCGCGGTTTCCCGCTTCGACAATCCGTCCACTCATTCAAGTATCCGATAAATCGACAATCCGGCAATCATCGAAGCTTTGCTTATTTATTATCCAAGAAATACGAGGACGAAGATAACTGATTTGTGGCTAAGACCAAAAGAGCCGGTAACCAACAAAACAAAACAAACAAATTATCGGCAAGGGGAACAATGACTGCTTTGATACGTTCTCATACCGGGTGTTCCGAAAAAAGTGTCACGATTTTAGTCACGTGCGATTTCCGTAAAAATTGTCCGAAATAGTTTGGCTTAAGATATGTTGCTCACAACCCTTGTCGATTTTGGTGGACAAAACGGTTCACCAAAATCTACGATGGTTTTCTCGCCAGAACAAAAAATCAAAATCGTCCGATTATGGTTCGAGACGAAATCGTACGTCACCGTCCGCCGCCGACTTCGACGCGAGTGTGACATGGAAACTCGAGATCTGCCCTGCAACAAACTCATTGCAAGGTTTGTTAACCATTTTGAGACAACAGGTTCAGTCCTGAATACTCACAGGGGCAGCAGCGGCAGGCCAGCATCGGTTTCAAAGTCCCCAGAGACCATCGCGGCCGTGCGAAATTCCGTCATTGCCAGTCCCAAGAAGTCGCTCCGTCGACGCTCTCAACAGCTCGGACTTGCTAAAACCAGCGTAAGACGCATCCTATGCGACGAGCTAAAACTGTCATCGTACATAATATCCACCAGACATAAGATGACGGATCGGGACAGGCAAAAGCGGCAAGTCATGTGTCAATGGATCTCCAACAAGATGGAGAGGAACGCGCGGTGGGTGAACCGAGTCTGGTTCTCAGACGAGGCTCACTTCCACCTGAACGGTGCGGTGAACAACCACAACAACACTTTCTGGGGTAACTCACCACCGGAAGAAGTAACGGAGAAGCAGCTGAAGGGCCCGAAGGTCACTGCCTTCGTGGCCTACAACGCCACTCACGGCCTCCTCGGTCCCTACTGGTTCGAAGAAGATGGCCGGACCGTCACCATCAATGGCGAGCGTTACCGCGAGGTCATCCGGGAATTCTACGCGGATCTGACCGATATGCTCACCGATAACCAACTGCAACAGGCATGGTTCATGCAAGACGGAGCTCCGCCTCACACTGCGCGTGAGAGTATCGAATGCCTTAAGGAGCTGTTCAACGCTCGCCTCATGTCTCTCGGCACCGCCCATGAGTGGGCTCCCCACAGCCCTGATCTCAACCCGCTAGACTTTTGGCTGTGGGGGGCTGCCAAGGACACTGTGTACGCAGGCAAGCCCAAGACACTGGTCCAGCTTAAGCAGAACGTCGAAAGATACCTGCATCAAGTCGGTCCCGAGACTCTGACGAAAGTCGCTGAGAGTTTCCAGGCCAGAATCAAGGCGTGTCTCAACCGCGGTGGTGCCCATATCGAGAACGTGAACTACAAGAAGTTCGCGTAAACTTGTGATCGCAGGAACTCCTCTGCCCTCTGGCAAGGAGTTATAGCACTGATACGAGAGTAACCTTGTTGAAAAAACGACAAACGTGAGCTTTCATATGGTGTATGTTTTAATGCGTTAATACTTGTCAAGCGTTTATAATACACGTTTGAAACTGTGACACTTTTTTCGGAACACCCTGTATATATATATATATATATATATATATATATATATATATATATATATATATATATATATATATATATATATATATATATGTTTTCAAATATAACCTTATGTTCAATGATTGCGAAATGCAAAAGGTTTCAAAATTAATTACAAAATGAATATATTTCGGACACTGTCCTTCTTCAGTTCAGAATTGCAAATTGCAATTATAGCAATTTGCAATTCTGAACTGAAGAAGGACAGTGTCCGAAATATATTCATTTTGCAATTAATTTTGAAACCTTTTGCATTTCGCAATCATTGAACATAAGGTTATATTTGAAAACATATATATGTCATAATGCTGTTCATACTGTAGCCATGTACTTCTGCCGGTCACCGCTAGGCCCATGTACTTCTGCCGGTCGCCGCTAGATGCTGTGAACCACGAGTTACAGTTTTGTTAATAGATGTCGCTTTTACCAGTCTCTAAATTGCTAAAGCCTTCGATTAAGTTGTGCGCCCCCCTTTTTAACGTTCCGTTCGCTTAAACTGCTGTATTGTTTGGACAATTGTATTGGCAATGTGTATATTGAAAACCATATGTATTCGTTTATTACATTCGATGTTCTCGCCACATGTGTGCAATACTAGATAACTAAGTTCGTATGTAAAACTATATATGTCTCGATTTTGTGGCGAAATACAAGAGATATCTGTATGTTACAGTGTTTCTACTGGCTACACCAGCCAGATTGGTGACCCCGCGTTCTGCGCACTATGGGATCGCTATCCCCTCGTGTTCCCAGTCACACCGACACTGGCCTGCACCCTGAGCTATCTCCTCCAGCTCTCTTTGTGTAGGAAGGAAGTGGCGGATGGTGTGTCTTCACGAGGATCCTTCTTTTGTGCTGAGTGTAACTGGATAACGCCGACTACTACTGCTGCACTACGATCCAGCTACATCATCGGCTCACCTTACCGTCCGGCTACCTCTGCAGCTGCACCGCAGCACCTGCCGATCGCCGTGTCGCCGTCGCCGCCACCGATCTTCCCGACCATTGCTCTCGGCAGCCATGGACCAGAAGACCCAGCCTGCCGGCGCCGGTGCAGCCGCCGGAGCCGGTGCAGCCGCCGGCGCCGGTGCAGCCGCCGCCGCCGCCTCGCATGCCGCTGCTGCTGCTGCTGCCGCTGCCGCCCAACCGGACTACCTCCGCGTGGCGACCGCGCCACGCAGCCACGTCGCGCCGCCGCGCTTCTTCGAGGAGGACCCCGTGATCTGGCTCGTCCAGCTCGACCTCTTCTTCTCTCAGGCAGCTGTGGACGATGAGCTCAGCCGCTTCCGGATCGCCGCTACTCTCCTTCCTGGCCACCTCCTGCGCGACTTCACCGACATCCTCCGCAACCCTCCTCTAGACCGACCTTACAGCATCCTTTCCGACGCCATCCGTCAGCGGTTCGGCAAATCAGTCGAACAGCGTCTTCGCTGCCTGCTCTCTGGCCAACAACTCGGCGACAGGCGTCCTTCCCAATTCCTTCGGCATCTCCTGGACCTTGCTGAAGCTGAAGGCTCACAAGATTCCCCGCTCATCCGCCAGATCTTCCTCAATGCTCTTCCGCCTCGGACTCAGCCCTTCCTCCAGTGCCTGCCACCTGGGACGGACCTTGCGACCATCGCTAGCACTGCCGACCGACTCCTGGAGCTTCCACAGCAGTCGGACGTCGCTGCACCTACCTCAGGCCTTCTCGCCGCGGTATCGACTTCTGCGCCTGCTGCAGCCTCACCTGCTGCTCCTGCAGGACCCTTCCACCTCCAAGACCTGATGAGCCAGCTGCTGACTGGTATCACGGCCCTCACAACATCAGTCGCCACACTGGTGGACGAGACGCGCCGCCGAGAGAGGTCTGCATCCCGTGCCCCCGGCCGCGCTCGCCACCGTCCACCACGCGACCTGTCTGCTGCTGCCCGGTCACCCAGCCCTGCAACCAACACATCTACCGGCGCTGGTGCTTCCTACTGCTGGTACCACCACAAGTTCGGTACCAACGCGCGCTCATGTCAGTCACCGTGCTCGTGGTCTGCAACCGCAACTCAGACCTCGGGAAACCAGCAGTAGGACAGGTGACACAGACGTCTGCACCTGCCCTGCTCAACCCTGACGTCCCTCCAGCCAGCGGCCTTCTGAGACTCAAGGACAACAACACTGGTATCACCTTCCTCATCGACACTGGAGCCGAGTACAGTGTTCTTCCAGCAACACCCACCGATCGTGCTCGCGGAACCAACGGACTGGATCTGCAAGCAGCCAACAACAGCAGCATCCAGACCTATGGTCAGCGCATGCTCACGCTTTCTCTCGGACTCAGAAGAGATTTCAACTGGATCTTCATCATCGCGGACGTCTCCCATCCTCTCCTAGGAGCCGACTTCCTCTCCTCGTATGATCTCCTCGTCGACACCAAGAGAGGCCGTCTCATCGACCACCTAACTGAGTTGTCTTCACCTGCTTCCCACTCATCAGTGCCATCCACCGGACTGACAGCCGTCGTCGGAACCGACATCCCAGCATTCCTTAACCTCCTTCGAGAATTCCCCAGCCTCACCCAGCCGTCACATCATCCGGAGCCACAGCACTCAGTCCGACATCACATCGAGACTACCGGCCCTCCAGTCTTCTGCCGCCCACGCCGTCTGGATCCAGCTCGACTCGCCACTGCCAAGGCAGAGTTCCAGCGCCTTCTCAGTCTCGGAGTCATCCGACCCAGCAGCAGTCGGTATGCATCACCGCTGCACATGGTGCCCAAGTCGTCTGGAGATTGGAGACCCTGTGGTGATTACCGTGCACTGAACCGCATCACAGTGCCTGACCGGTACCCACTACCACATCTCCATGACTTCACTGCCTGCCTCGCTGGGACATCAATCTACTCTCGGCTCGACCTCGTCAGGGCCTTCAACCAGATACCGATGGCCCCAGAAGACATCGCCAAGACAGCGATCACAACGCCCTTCGGCGCCTTCGAGTTCCTCCGTATGCCGTACGGTCTCCGGAACTGCGCTCAGACCTTCCAAAGGTTCATGGATCACATCCTCCGTGGCCTAGACTTCGCCTTCGTCTATGTGGACGACATCCTCATCGCCAGCAGCAGCATCTCGGAACACCTGTCACACCTCCGAGAGGTCTTCAGCCGTCTTTCCCGCAACGGTGTGCTCCTCAACCCATCGAAGTGCGCCTTCGGCATGGAAAGCATCTCCTACCTCGGCCACCAGATCTCCAGCGGGGGCATCACTCCTCTCGACGATCGAGTCAGCGCGATCAAGAACTTCGACCGTCCAGAGTCAAAGAAGAGCCTCAAGAAGTTCCTGGGGATGATCAACTTCTACCACCGCTTCATCCCACACGCTGCTGCTCTTCTGGCACCTCTCCACGGCCTGACTGCCTCAGACGACCGAGCTGCTTCAGTCACGTGGACCCCAGAGGCAGACGCCGCCTTCTCTGCAGCCAAAGCCGCCCTCGCTGACGTCACCCAGCTCGCTCATCCCGTCAAAGATGCAGCTCTGAGCCTCAGCACTGACGCCAGCAGCACGGCAGCCGGCGCAGTGCTCCACCAGCGAGTTGGTGGTTCTCTTCAGCCTCTCGCCTTCTTCTCGCGCAAGTTCACGCCCACCCAACGCCGCTACAGCACCTTTGGACGGGAATTGCTCGCCATGTACCTCGCCGTGCGACAATTCCTGCCCTATCTGGAAGGACGCGACTTCGAGATCCTCACGGACCACAAGCCGCTCGTCTTTGCTCTCAAGGCCAACGGCAACGCCAACCATTCTCTCCGTGAACAACGTCACATGGACCTGATTCTGCAGCACACCAGCAAGATCGGACATGTTCCTGGACACCTCAACCCGGTAGCTGACGCCATCTCACGGATCAGCTCAGTGTCTGCGCCAGCTTCTGCCGCAGCTACACCTTCACCCGGCCTTCTGAGCCTGGCCGACATCGCCCTACACCAAGCCAACGATCCTGACCTGCCGAAGCTGCAACAATCCTCATCTCTGGTCATCCGTGACTTCCCAGTCCCTGATCATCCGCATCTTCGTCTCTGGTGCGACACCTCAACGGCCACACCTAGACCTGTAGTCCCAGCCAGACTCCGCCCTTCCATCATCAAGAGCTTCCACGACTTGTCTCATCCTGGCATCAACGCTACGCGTCATCTCATCTCATCGAGGTTCATCTGGCCCCACATCAACACGGACATCCGTGCCTTCGTCCGGAGCTGCCAGCACTGCCAGCGTGCCAAGATCCAGCGCCACACGAAGCCACCCATGGGCAGCTTCCAGCCACCTGACTCTCGCTTCCTGCACATCCACATCGACCTTGTCGGACCACTTCCTCCGTCTCATGGCAACTCCTATCTCCTGACTGTCGTCGACCGCTTCACCCGATGGCCCGAGGCAATTCCTCTGCCCACCATGGACGCCGTCACGGTGGCTCGGCATCTCGTCAGCGGCTGGATCGCCCGCTTCGGAGTACCCGAACTCATCACCACCGACAGAGGATCCCAGTTCGAGTCCCGCCTCTGGACAGAAGTCTCCAAGCTTCTCGGCACCTCTCGGATCCGGACCTGCGCCTACCACCCAGAAGCAAACGGGATGGTAGAGCGCTTCCACCGCCAACTGAAGTCAGCTCTGCGGACCGATGACGACGCCGCCTCCTGGTCGGACCGACTTCCTCTGGTGCTACTCGGAGTGCGCACGGCCCTCAAGGAGGATCTCGGATGCACCGCTGCAGACCTAGTCTATGGTTGCAGTCTCCGAGTTCCTGGTGACTTCCTCTCCCCCATGTCGTCGGACACTTCTTCTGATCCGGCTTCCCTAGCCTCTCGTCTCCGTGCCGCCATGTCGGAGCTCCGTCCAACTCCTCCTCGTCCTGGCTCCCGCCAAATCTTCATCTCTCAAGACATGCAAACCTGCTCCCACGTCTTCATCCGACGCGATTCGCATCGCTCTCCTTTCCAATACGTCTATGACGGTCCTTATCGTGTCCTATCCCGCGACCAGCACACCGTCACCATCGACCGTCTCGGGCGACGCGACACCGTCACCCTGGCTCGGTGTAAACCGGCCTTCACGGACCACGCGCCTGCCGCAACGCCGCCTCCTGCGCCGGACGTCCTGGTGATCGACACGCCTCCTACGGCGCCAGACAGCTCGGTGGACCGCCCGCCTACTGCACCCAGCCGCTCGGGAGCCCCCGGCGGCTCTAGCCCGTCTCGCCGCGTGCCGCCGGGCCCGCCGCCTGCTTCGCCGCCCCCTCTCCGTCGTTCGTCGCGTCTTCGCCGCCAAACATCTTTTTATGGTGTTTAACTAGGGCGGGGGAGTGATGTAGCCATGTACTTCTGCCGGTCACCGCTAGGCCCATGTACTTCTGCCGGTCGCCGCTAGATGCTGTGAACCACGAGTTACAGTTTTGTTAATAGATGTCGCTTTTACCAGTCTCTAAATTGCTAAAGCCTTCGATTAAGTTGTGCGCCCCCCTTTTTAACGTTCCGTTCGCTTAAACTGCTGTATTGTTTGGACAATTGTATTGGCAATGTGTATATTGAAAACCATATGTATTCGTTTATTACATTCGATGTTCTCGCCACATGTGTGCAATACTAGATAACTAAGTTCGTATGTAAAACTATATATGTCTCGATTTTGTGGCGAAATACAAGAGATATCTGTATGTTACAGTGTTTCTACTGGCTACACCAGCCAGAATACAAGTACTTCGCCATTTACTTACGTTCTCATATAATTGATTAAGTGGTTGAGACTCTGAATCGATTTGCAGTTTTGCAAACAACTTAGAAGAAAAAGGTACTGTATTTATACCGGTTTTGACACGAACAAGTTGCAACACTGCGCCTCGGGGTGCAATATCAGGTATCTGTACACATCAGCCTTTCTAATCTAATCCGCGGTTCCGAGGGCCCGGAAGGGTCACAACAACGTAAACCCTAAAATAGCATTTAAGCCGATTTAAACCACGACACATTCTTGCCTGCGATTGTAACTACATGCACCAACATTTTACAAGCTCATGCCTTAGAAACCGGTATTTTACGGAATGGATTCACGGGTGGATGCCTGATTGCTTCTGGCAACTTTGTAAATGCGTGCCTATTGCACAAGTTGGAACGATACCTATGCATTCAACGATAAAACACTATTTGTGATTGTACCTAAGCTATTTATAATGTGTTTCATGAGAAATATACGGTGAATTATGTCATAGTTTTTAACGTATACCTTTGCCTTTTTTCCCGTATACCACGGGTAAAGATTTTTTGTTATGACTCGGTCCAGGTCATTTGACGTCACACTATTTCATCATTTTTCTTAACACAAAACATTCACCTCATCATCTCAGACCTAACAGCTAGACGATTGAGATCAATTTGAGATCATTCAACAAATATCTGAGATCACTTCACTGCACCTCCTATCCCATTACCTTCGTCCATGTCTTTCATAAGAGGACACGTCCTTCACAAATAAGGAGAGGTCTTTCATACAAGACCCTTTCCTTCTGTCCCCAATCTCCCTTCATTCGGTATTCTCCATTCGGTACATGTCGGAGAGGAGTCGGCTTACTCCTATCTCTCCCGTGGTCTCTTTGAAGAACAGCGCCTCCACCACGGCGGCCGGGATCGACCTCAGGGCCGGGATGAGCAGCAGCAGTCGGCCGAACCGTGTCGGCTGCCGCGGGAAGCGTGCTCGGAGGTAGTCGCTGAGCACGCACTGCGCCTGGTCCTGGAGCATCTCCACCGGCCGGGTGTCCGTCACACGCGCAGTTTCTGGGGTCAGACGGCGGAGAGGTCAGACAGACAGAGGGGCAGATATGGAGAGGGAGAGAGGTCAGTCTCTGGAGGTTAGACGGGATGGGAGAGGTCGTGCGAATTGTTTCTACGAGTACAGGTGGAGATACAGGGGCGTCAGAAGATAGAACCATAAGCGATGTCTGCGACAGACAAACTCATCAATTCACTCAAATAAGCACGCTTCCATGTGACCATCTGACGTGCAATAAAAGCTCTGACTTCAGACCATTATGAAGGTAATGTCCTATGCACTATACAGCTCCGCTGACCTGGCTTGAAGAGTACGATGGCCCTCAGGCAGCCGCACTCGGTCATGTCGGGCGCCAGCTGCCGGAACCGGCAGAGGATGTCCTGAATGGTGCGCACGTCGCCGCTCGAGCCGACCCCCAGCCGGGACTGAGCGTGCGCCGAGTCGAGCAGGGAGGACAGGTCGAACGGCAGGTACCACTGGGCCAGCTGCAGCAGAAACAGGTCCTTCCACGACTCCTCCAGCAGCAGCATCTGAGGCACAAACAGAGCGATGAGAAGTGAAAAAGCGAGAAAAGGGAGGTGAGGGAAGAGAAAAGCAGTGAGAGAACAGAGTAAAAAGTCGCCTTTTATGCATGTAACGTAAAATAACAATTCCCTTAATGAAACCAGCTCTACTTTTATATTTAATTATCGCTTTATTCTTCACAGCTTCCACACTTGGTAGGTCACCCAAACGCCTAACCTAAATACTAGTTACCGCCCCGTGACGCACCTGGTCTCGCGCGGCCAGCGTCTGGTAGGGCGCCAGGCCGCGCACCCAGCGCACCACCATGAACAGCAGCCGCGCGGTGGTCTCGTGGAACAGGTCCCAGGAGGGCGTCAGCGCCAGCGGCGTCGGGTACAGCAGCGGCGGACGCTCGTCAGCCACCAGCTTCGGCACGCCGAACGGCTCCGTTGGCGGCTGTCGTTGCATGGAGCCAGGGGAAGGTAGTTTATTAATTTGTAATTTGTTACGTGCGATAGCTATTGACAGTCATATAATCGAAAGCTAGGTAAACGTCCACCTGGTGATGTGCATGAATTTAGCAGCAGTTTTATGCTGGTGAGGTTCGAAGTCCAGCGGAAAGTGCCGCAGATTATAGGTATAACCGTCAGTCAAATGGCAATGTCAACCGTTTCTCTTGGTGACGTCTATATATAGCGCATATGCATTCTACCAATAATTTGAGGCCGGCATGGGCAGGCTGGATCTGGGCTCAGACGACTCATACCTGAGCGGGCCCGGTGTCCGGAGGTGGGTGAGCACACCGGCTGCCACCGGGTGGCCGGCTCCGAACGCCGAGCTGGGCGCCAGGAAGTCGCCCCCTCTGCCCAGGAACACGGGCACCTTGGACTGCTCCGCCTCCAGCAGGTCCTTGTTCTTGTTCTTGCGCGGACCACGCTCGTGCTGCACGGCTGTGGGAGGGAGGGGTGAAGCCGTTTGACTTGTGTTTAATTTTTAATGAAGGGGGTGTGATCTGAGTGCCGATGAACGGTCAGCGCAGCTGTTATTGGTGCAGACGTGGACTGAACTGAGTGGTGGGCGGAGTCAGTCGGAGAGTGGCTCCACCCACACCAGTCTGCTGGAGTCACCCGCCGCATAACTTTACTAACTTAGCCATTATGAATGAGTGAAATGAAATGCCTGTGGACTGTGGTGCCTTTCTCCATACCGGTACTTAGTTGTCGCTTATCACTATTCATAGGAGCTAATTAGATCGTGATATTATGTGTTCTTATGCCTCACAAGAAGACTCACAAATTAGGTACCTACGTAAATGAGCGCGAATGCCGCAACATTGCTAAATCATGGATCCATGGCAATAAATAATAAAAATTACTCCTGAATTAACTTAAATGTCGCTAGATATGTCATAAGAAGGTGCATAAAATAAGCGATACAAAAGGTGTTATCTTAGTTACGAGGCAGATACAAAACGTGCTCCGTTACTTCCGTAATCTCATAATTTGCTGCCCATTGTTCACGAATCTACCCAGCTGCATTTCACCCCTGTTATTCAGTTCATCATTTCAAGTGGCCCCTCTTGATCGTCAACAGATCAGCGCATTAAGCCGTGCCCCTGTCACCAAAAGCCGCGGAGCTGGACGGGGCGCGTCCGCGGCAGTCGGCGTGGCATCGATTCGTCGCGGCCGCGCGGCCGGGAAGGGTGTGAGCCGTGCGCCTCCTCTGGCGGCCGACACATTAGCTGCACACACGGCCCCAGCCGCGGTAAACGGACCGGAGCGCAGCGCCTTACAAATGAGCTCCGCGGGCGGGCACTAATCCCGGCGCGTGGCACCCCTCTCCGGCCGTCAGCGACCCCCGGCCGGCCGCCTGACACTTTCCCACACCATATATCACCGTCATGTCAATAAGTACTTTAGTCCGCGCCAAAATGGTTATTACGTCGCAGACTGATTGACTGGTGAGAGAGCTCTCCGTAGAGCCGGTCGGCCGAGGCACCTCGATCCGGCTCTATCCACAGCGTGAGATGGGGCCAGCCGGCGGAAAACTGGGGCCGCTGAGCGGCGACACCGGTCGCGATGTCCGGCAGCGGCGGCTCGGGGCCGCGGCCGGGCTGACAGCGGCCAGCCCACACTGGCGTCCAGTTTATCTTGCTGTGATGGAGAGAGATAAATGGGGTTGTCCCTGTCAGCCGGATACACACAAGTAAGTCGTGGGAACGGTGGTCTGGAGCCATCACCGAAGGGAGCAGAGGCCAGCCGCTGGCCAAACGTCGCCGCCACGCGGCCAGCCGAGCGGGGCAGCAGAGGTCGAGCGAGGCAGCGCCAGCCGATCCCGCCCGCTACAACGCCGGCCATCACGGCTTTGGAAGGCAGACAGCCGAGAGCAGTGGATGGATGAGATAGCTTGGGTCACGTGGCGTTCACCGGCAGATTGCTAGTTGGCTATATATTGCCGTCTCGGCTACGGCTAGAGTCTGAGATCATAAGTTGTTTATTCTTGGTCAAGATCGTGTGTTTGGCGTGTAAATGGCACAAAATTTCCTCGCATGATAGCGTGAACGGTAACAACACACACAAATTACAGTCTACCAGCTGAACTGCATGCAGTTCAACAAAAGTGGCTTAGTGCCCGCCACTGCAGTGGCGGGCACTAAGCCACTTTTGTTTGAGGTCACTGATGAAAAGCGATAAAACAAATGTTTGCCTCTATCGGTGTAGAGCATTTAGACATCCAGTGACACGCAAAGCCCAAACATGTGTGATTCGTCGCCTTATACGAACAAAACCGTTTCAAACACGTTTCAGTAAACGCTACAATGTCTATCCTGAAACGACTTTTTAAAAATGCTCCCTTTCTATAATGCTGAGCTGAACTTTTGTCCTCTCTTTTATCAAATCTTGACCTTTATTTCTTAGTGTGCGTTTTTTTTTTACTCTCGCATATCTCTACAATACATAGCAAATTAAACCTGGACAAAAAGGCACCCTCGAAACCAAAGAGCTTCATGAAAAGTTTTGGCTGTAGAGATCACCTACCGGGTAGCAAAGCATCTTCCGTCGCCGTAAGTTGTGTCTTAAACAATCACTTGCTGCGCTTTCAACAATGCATTCCTAGGTTTGTCGCTTGTCAGTCGCCTGTTCAAGGAAATAATTCCATTAGTCTTAGCGCTGTGCCATGTAATCATGAAGTTCACTTAGGACCACCATTAACAGCTCCCTTCTCTCACTGGCCCGTAATAGGTACGCGAGTCACCTTCAACTTCACCAAACAAGTTTTTAGCTTTAAGTGGCTCTTGTTGTCAGACCGATCAGTTTACCGCTGACAGCGCACCCGATGGCCGGACCGCTCCCTATGGCGGACCCCCGGCCGGCGGACCTGACAGCCGCCGTCTCCTCTCAGCTCTGATGGCGGCGGCCCATTCTACCGGCCGTTCGACGGCGCCCCGCTGCCCGCGACCGTAACCTCCGGGTCCGGCCAATCAAAGTTGGCCACTTGCGCCCGCCCCGAACGGCCCGAATCGTGTCGGGCGCGCGTTTTATTTCCGACAGGTGGTGAAATCACCGGCGCTGACCGGGCCCCGAGTCGTTTGCATGCGTCTTTTCACAGAGTTAGCGGCCGGCCGGCGGCACGGTTATGACCGGGCGGCGACAGGCGCGGCGCACCAGCTGGGCGGCTCTCACAGTTTGTGGCTGCCGACCGCGCCACAATTACACGTCACCGCATCAGGCGAGATGGCGCGTCCGTCTCTCCACGGACCTCGGAGAAGGGGGGGGGGGGCTGGTGGTTGGACAAGTTGAGGAAATCATCTCTGTTGCTGATCTACCAAAATTATTTTGGTTGTTTTTTTAAGCGATTATAGAAATGATCAACTGAACAATTTGCATGTGCAACGCAGCGTAATTGCATTTATTCGTTGTAGTATGTCTATGACATGCATACACCTAAAATAGCGACAAACGCTTGATGATAAAGTATGACTGTCAGAAAGATTATTTTACTATTTAACGACGAGCGAACTTTCTAGGCACCGTCTCTAAAAAAATTATATCCTTCAATTATCCTAAATGTTTTTGACATCCTCATGGGATGGGCACTGGGCAGGTGCACCTACTTACCAATGCCGTGAATAGGATTTGGCAGCACTGGCCGGACACATTGCTCCAACAGACGGTAAATAACTTTTGAAAATACCTATATCCAATTTTAGTGTTTTCTGAACCAAAATTTTGCGAGGAATCCGATGGTGTGGTCCCTGAAATCTGAAAAATTTCCATTTTGGAGATAGCACCTATTTTTTGAAAAGTAAATATTCGTCATGCACAAAAGTCAAATAATTTAAAATATAATGAGTGAATATTTATACTAACACTAGAATGTATCGAACATGAATTAGTGATATATTTTAGCTGAGATGATACTATATCTGCTCATACATGTACATGAATTAGTTGAACTCGTCATGATCTCGTCGGCCGAGAAGGGATGGGGCGGATGCCGCCTCATAGGGGTTTTTCGCGATAGCTCAAAACACGCTTTGGGAAAACAGCTGAAACTTGGCATAGGGTAAGGTGCCTAATTAGCGACCCCCTTAATTTGAACCGTCATTGCTCACGCTCTGTGGGTGCCACTGTGTTACTGGCTTCATTTTCGGAGAGATCGTTCATTTTTCTATTAAAATATAGGGGAGAGTGGGGCAATGGCGACACCATAAGCATTTTGCTCAATAGCTTGGCTATTTGAAGCTATTTTATGGTGATTTTGACTGTGGTTATAGCCAAAGGAATAGGCTTTCAGATAGCACCCAGTTTTAGTATTTCAGATCACTGATGACAGATTCAGAGCCTACGCGAAAATGTGGTGAAAAATGGAGGTGCAAAAAGCGAGGGGTAATGCCGGCCACTAAGTGCAATAGCACAAAAGTCGAAATATCGTCACTGGTATTCATCCTTAAACCGTTCTTTCGATGGAAATTTAAGTGAGAATTAAGAAACGACAACTGTATTCAGCAGTTAACAGTACACTGCACTGCAACACAACACTGCACTCGCTGCAACACAACAGCGCGGCGCCAACAGAGCAGCAAACTAACACAACCGTAAACACAGCAAGCAAACTAGCACAGCCGTAAACACAGCAACCCGAAACGTTGAGCTTTAACGACAGAAGTCGCAAACAAAACCGCGTGGAGTCATTCCGGACACGTGTCCGGTATTACCCCGAGGTCAGCTTTATTTTAAGAAAGCAGGCAGCAGTCAAAGGCATTGCGCCGCAAACGCCTCACATCAAGCAGTCGCCTAAGAAAGGCTTAATTGAAGGTCATTGCAAAGCAGCACTTCTGAAAATGCGTTAACACAATTCACAGTCAGCAAATAGATGCAACAAAAATTAAAAATCAGATACGAAAAACACATTTAACGCTATAAAAATGAAAATAATGGAGCTACCGTGACAAACTTGCACCACGTGCTAGAATGGCGCTCAAGTGAAATGTAAACAACATCAGCTGATTAGTGATGGACAAAGTACTCACTAGAGATGGGTGGCCGGCATTACCCACCGTCCGCCATTGCCCCACTCTCCCCTAGTCATTTTCTGCCCCAATATTCACTAACTTATTTGTAGTGAGCATTTCGGCAAACCATTGCAAAAAACGCTAATAGGGAACTCTTCCCGATTAGCGACCGGGGAGGGTCGCTAATAGGTATATGGGTTTCCCCATATTAAAAATGGCAAAAAATGCGACGCCTGAAAAGATAAAATATGATCTAAAAAAGGTAACCTATACGCAAAGCACTCAATCACTCGAACAGGAACGTTTATCCAACACATTTACGTAAGTAAAAACTGATCACGTGATGCACCGAAGGCGAAAAGAAGGCGGAAACCCAAATTTTGCGGGCTATCTTGTATGATATTCGAGGTCCGCGCTGAATTCGGCACCCCTGCA